CAGCTACATTATTAACGTAGCTGAATTTGCATACCTTAGTCCGAAGTGGGGGGTTAGTGTGGACCAGGCCTTAGTATAATCATTTTCTCAAGTATTTTAGGAAATCCAGAGTACTGAATTAATCAACTTTTTCTTAAAACTGGCTGAATTTTGGTGGCATGAGTGTTGGAGCATGTCTTAATTTTGGTTTTGTTAGTGAGATTGCAGGAAATGGTATTTTTGAATGTGTGTATTACAGTAAAATGTTGCCAACATATCAGGTTGGTTTGATTTAGAGAGAGCAAATTACTGTCACTAAAAATTATGGCATCTGGCCTTTTTTCTTTTTTTCTTCAGATGCTTGTTAGTTGGTATTCAATTTAAAAGTTTAATTTTTGTTTTGTTTTGTTTTTCTCTCACATAAATGAACATTACAGATCTTTGAATTGACTCTCCAGGTATGGAAAAATAGCATGAGCATCCCCCTGCCCTTTCTCCCTTCCCCTCAATTTCTTCTGCTTATTCAGATCTGCTTTCCTTTTTTGCCTTCCTCGAATGTAAAATCTGCTTCAGACTGATTACATGTTGGGATTCATGTTTAGCTTTGTCCAACTCTTACTCTAGAAAAAATGCTTTGTATTTAACTTCCTATTTCTAACTACTTTACTTTTCTGGCTTTATTGATCAAATGCATCCTCATGTAATTACTCTTGTAAAACAATTTTTTGTTCTAATACATGCTGTGAAAAGAAAACGAACTTTTGGGAAATAAGTAGCATGGAATCATTTCCCCTATGCCTCAGCTGTCCGGTTCTATCTGTGGCATCACTTTTCACATATTTTGTGTTTATATGGTTGTACATGTTACTAACTTTATTTCTAACCCTTCATCTGTATCAAGTCTGTAGAATTCTAAACCTTTAAATGTCATGTGGTAGAAGAATAAACCCATTATAAACAATTAAACTCTCAGGACAGTGGAGTTTTCCAGACAACCAGACAAATAATTTGTCAGCGTCATTGTATAGGGTCCTAAAGTTTAATGTAGCTCTACTTCCTGTTTATCATCTTAGGAGTTCTAGCTGTTTCATTCTCCCTTTACCTGGGCATAGTGTTCGAGACAGAACACCAATATGTTGATATATTTAGAAAATCTTGCCAACAGGTATATAGACTGTTTTATAAACATATGTCAACAAAGGGTAGAGGAAAGTTTAAGGTGACCAATCCATGGAAGCTTAAATCATATATTTGTTTAAAGTTTGAAGGTCAAATAACTTGTTTAGTTTAAGCTGTTTTTGTGTGGATTGGGTATCCCCCCTTCAAAGACATGTTTCTGGTCTGGCCTCTACTTAAGTCTTGAGTACTCATAAGATCATAAAAGGAAATCATAAAAAGAAATGAAGCTGGGATGTGTGCAAAATGACAAGCATTCTAGTAGCAGTTTGAAAATGCCCTTGTTTACTGTCAAGGATGTTAGATTAAGTTTTTGAACAGTTTTTTTTACGCACTAATAAAACGGCACATGTAGAGATGAGGAAGGAATGAGACCTGTAAAAATTAGCTTATATTTATTTGCTGTTCTGAACATTTGCAACCTAATTAAAAAAAAGTTCAGTGTTTAGTAGATTATTTTTGACTTCCTAAGGAAGAGCATCAGGGTTGAATGCAAAAGGTATGGGAGAGGATGAGAAATTAAGCTGGCAATATTTGTGGTTAATCTGAAGTGAGTTTTGTGATCAGTACCAGATCAAAGTGCCAGGATGTAGATAGTTGCTATGCAATTATTTGGAAGTAAAACAAGTGGCTGCAGGTCAGTGAATATGTAGCACACATGCACTGTGATTGGATGAGACAATTCCGCTACAGTCCAGTGGCCTGAAGTTCTTGTTCTCTGAACATAATCACTGTAACAGATCCACACTTGCCCACTTTCTCACCTTCTAAAATAGGGGAATATCTAATAGGGCTATTTTGTGAAAAAAAGAATTGCCAGTTGGTGATCAGAACCACCATCTCAGGGTTTGGGATTAGAGTGAAGGTTGTGGAAGTGTTTGTTCCCTTATAGTCAGCATCATAACAATGGAGCTACTGGAACATAGCATTTAAAAAGAAATGTATAGTATAAGAATGATATGTCTCAGAAAAAGAGGTCCCCAAACTTTTTACCTCGTATCCCCACTTTCCCCCATCCACGTCCCCCCCTGGAGCTGGGACTGGGGCTGTGACTTTGGGGTGAGGGAGAGGGGGGACACAGACCGGGGTAAGAGGGCCGAGGCTGGGGCCACAGCTGGGGATGGGGCCAAGGCTAGGAGCAGAGCTGGGTGGCACTCCCTCTCAGAACCCCGTGGGGGCTGTCCTGGGCCCAAGCCGCGCTCCCTGAATGTTCTTCTGTGCCCCTTTAGAGGGGCGCACCCCACAGCTTAGGGACCTCTGTCCTAACCTCGGGTTTGAATTAACCAAATCATTTTGACAACATTTTTGTAACGTAATCAGCCTTAGAGAAAGTGTTGCTATTTTTTGCAAATGTTATTCAAAAGCTTTTCTGTAAGATAAAAACAGGCTTATGTTATGATTGATACTTGAGTGATAGTTTATGGAACACAAAGGAGATATGCTAAAACTAAATAATCCTAATTGGGCCCATATACAATTCAGAGTAAAACCTAATAATTTGGTTTTTATTCTTAACAGATCCATAGTACTTCCATTTTCAGGACCTTTTGTTATATTAATGTGCTGCTGTTTTTCTAGATTGCTGCAAATATTAAGCTAATACATTTATAGCTTTTTAAGAGGTACCATCTTCAGAAAGCAAGATTTACAGATGGCTAATTTTACCTTTTTTTATTTTAGTTTTGCTTTCAGGTGGTATCTGATAACAAATGGTGACTAATGTGAAATTCTGGGGCTGCCAATAATGATTTATTTTTAGGATTAGCCACAGAGTGAATATTTCCTTTCTGTAGAAATATTTAATGTCTTTTTTGTTTGTTTGTTTGTTGCATCTATGTAATATTTGTCTTGCTGTGTAGATAGAGTCTTTGCAAGCAGAAATAAAAGACAAAACAGATGATTACAATAAACTGTTATTAGAAAAGGAGCAGAAGTACCGAGAAATTACAGTTCGAGATAAAGAAATAGAGGAGCTAGCAGCGCGGATTAGAGAGCTGGAGCACACCAATACTGAGGCCTCAAAGACTGTCAGCCGTTTGGAACAAGAACTGCAAAAAATGAAGAAAAGGGAAACTGAACTAACACAAGTAATACTTTTAAAGATTTTCTTTTTAAGTGGAATGTACTAGTGGAGGGTAATTTAGGGATTATAGCTGACAATTCCATATGGGATTTTTAACTAGTCAAGTTATGCCAGGCCCTGGCCTTACCCTGCCAGGGAGTAATGGATATAGATGTCCAGTGTCTGTTCTTCCATCAGACCTGAAGAACAGCTCTGTGTAGCTTGTCTGTTTCACCAACAGAAATTGGTCCAAAAAAAGCTATTACCTCACCCACTTTGTCTCTTCCATCAGATGTCACTTAGTGTCTTGTATCAATGGCAAGTATTACAGTGGTAATTGGAAACAAATTTTTGCTTTGAGAACTGAAACCCCCCCCCCACTATTTGCAAAGAATCATTTTTGGCAGTCACAAGAAATGTATTGGGAAGTTTGTACTCCTTTTGTTCCTACAGGCGCTAGAGAAGGTGCTACTAAATACTACATAATAATACCTAACTCGTATACAGCACTGTTCCTCAGTAGATCTCATGTGGTTTTACTTTGAAAAATGCTATGTAAAATTAGTATTACTGAAGTCAACAGCTCTTCTCACAGTGTGTATTCAGAGCCATGTCTACTTACTTTAGACCCAGAGATTTTACTGCTTTTGCTACTGTTAGCTCTTCAGAGCCAGCCACAGCTCACAGAGATTGTGAGCTGACCTCATGTTCCATTTTGTAGATCATCAATAGAAGCCATCACATTCGGCCAACTGACCTAGCACATAACAGGAAATTGACATTAGATGGGTCTACCAGACGTGCATTTCAGGCATGCTGTTGTATGGTGGTGACACTTGGACCACCTGCAGCAGGCAGGAAAGAAGGCTAAACACCTTCCATACCCACTATCTTTCATAGAAGATTAGGGTTGGAAGAGACCTCAGGAGGTATCTAGTCCAATCCCCTGCTCAAAGCAGGACCAACCCCAACTAAATCATGCCAGCCACGGCTTTATCATGCCGGGCCTTAAAAACCTCTAAGGATGGAGATTCCACCACCTCCCTAGGTAACCCATTCCAGTGCTTCACCATCCTCCTAGTGAAATAGTGTTTCCTAATATCCAATCTAGACCTCCCCCACTGCAACTTGAGACCATTGTTCCTTATTCTGTCATCTGCCACCACTGAGAACAGCCATGCTCCATTCTCTTTGGAACCCCTCTTCAGGTAGTTGAAGGCTGCAATCAAATACCTCCTCACTTTTCTCTTCTGCAGACTAAACAAGTCCAGTTCCCTCAACTTTTCCTCATAAATCATGTGCCCCAGCCCCCTGATAATTTTCATTGCCCTCCACTGGACTCTTTCCAGTTTGTCCACATCCTTTTTGTAGTGGCGGGCCTAAAACTGGACGCAATACTCCAGATGTGGCCTCACCAGTGCCGAATAGAGGGGAATAATTACTTCCCTCAATCTGCTGGCAATGCTCCTACTAATGCAGCCCAATATGCCGTAAGCCTTCTTGGCAACAAGGGCACACTGCTGACTCATATCCAACTTCTCATCCACTGTAATCCCCAGGTCCTTTTCTCCAGAACTGCTGCTTAGCCAGTCGGTCGCCAGCCTGTAGCGGTGCATGGGATTCTCCTGTCCTAAGTGCTGGATTCTGCACTTGTCCTTGGTGAACCTCATCAGATTTCTTTTGGCCCAATCCTCCAATTTGTCTAGGTCACTCAGGACCCTATCCCTACCCTCCAGCAGATCTACCACTCCTCCCAGTTTAGTGTCATCTGCAAACTTGCTGATGGTGTAATCTATCCCATCATCCAGATCATTAATAAAAATGTTGAACAAAACCGGCCCCAGTACCGACCCCTGGGGCACTCCGCTTGATACCAGCTGCCAAATAGACATTGAGCCATTGATCACTACCCATTGAGTCCAACGATCTAGCCAGCTTTCTATCCACCTTATAGTCCATTCATCCAATCCATACTTCTTTAACTTGCTGGCAAGAATACTGTGGGAAACTGTATCAAAAGCTTTGCTAAAGTCAAGCTATATCACGTCCACTGCTTTCCCCATATTCACAGAACCAGTTATCATAGAAGGCAGTCAGGTTGGTCAGGCATGACTTGCCCTTGGTAAATCCATGTTGACTGTTCTTAATCACCTTCCTCTCCTCCAAGTGCTTCAAAATGGATTCCTTGACGACCCGCTCCATGATTTTTCCAGGGACTGAGGTTAGACTGACCGGTCTGTAGGTCCCCGGGTTCTCCTTCTTCCCTTTTTTAAAGATGGGCACTATATTTGCCTTTTTCCAATCGTCCAGTACCTCCCCCAATCGCCACGAGTTTTCAGAGGTAATGGCCAATAGCTCTGCAATCACGTCAGTCAACTCCCTCACCACCCTTGGCTGCATTAGATCTGGACCCATGGACTTGGGCATATCCAGCTTTTCTAAATAGTCCTTAACCTGTTCTTTCACCACTGAGGGCTGCTCACCTCCTCCCCATACTGTGTTGCCCAGGACCATCGGTGTGGGAGCTGCCCTTGTCTGTGAAGACCGAGGCAAAAAAAGCATTGAGTACTTCAGCTTTTTCCACATCATCTGTCACTAGGTTGCCTCCCCTTTCAGTAAGGGTCCCACACTTTCCTTGTCCTTTTTCTTGTTGCTGATGTACCTGTAGAAACCCTTCTTGATACCCATCAAATCCCTTGCTAGCTGCAACTCCAGTTGCGTTTTGGGCTTCCTGATTATACCCATGCATGCTCTAGCAATAGTTTTATACTTCTCCCTATTCATCTGTCCAAGCTTCCACTTCTTGTAAGCTTCCTTTTTGTGTTTAAGCTCACCGAAGATTTCTCTGTGAAGCCAAGGCTGCCATATTTGCTATTCTTTCTGCACATTGGGATGGTTTGTTCCTGCGCCCTCAGTAAGGCTTCTTTAAAGTACAGCCAGCTTTCCTGGACTCCTTTTCCCCCTCATATTAGCCTCCCAGAGGATCCTGCCCATCGGTTCCCTAAGGGAGTTAAAGTCTGCTTTTCTGAAGTCCAGGGTCTGTATTTTGCTACTCTCCTTTCTTTCTTTTGTGAGGATCCAGAACTCAATATCTCATGGTCACTGCTGCCCAGGTTGCCATCCACTTCTACTTCCCCTACCAAGTCTTCCCTGTTTGAAAGCAGTAGGTCAAGAGGAGAACAGCCCCTGGTTGGTTCCTCCAGTAGTTGTCCCCAACATTCTCCAAAAACTTCCTGGATTGTCTCTGCATTGCTGTATTGCTCTCCCATCAGATGTCAGGGTGATTGAAGTCCTTCATGAGAACCAGGGCCTGTGTTCTGGAAACTTCAGTTAATTATCTGAAGAAAGCCTCGTGTACTTCATCCTCCTGGTCCGGTGGTCTATAGCACATGCCCACCATGACATCACCCTTGTTGCTCTCGCTTCTAAACTTAACCCAAAGACTCTCAACAGGCTTTTCTCCAGATTCATACGTTTGCCGTATTCTAAATATCAAATGGGAAACCAAAGTTCCTGACATTGAAGTAGTTGAGAAGGCAGAATGGCCATGTCAAATCACAGTTCTCAAACACAGACATGTCCATTGTCTTGATCATCTGAATTGGATGGACGTGTTCCAAAGGATGGAGAACTTGCAGATGCTCCAAGACTACTCATCTGACCTAAACTGAGGTTCAAGGACATTTGAAAGAGGGACTTGAAAACTTTCAATATCGATGGTACAAACTGGGAAGTTGCAGCTAGCAACAGGCTATGCTGGAGGGCTGCACTGCACCAGAGAGTTAGAGGTTGAAGAGAGGTGATTGGGGGGTGGGAGTAGAGAGAGAGGAAAGTGAAGAGGAAAGCTCAGGAGGCCTCAAACTAGTAGTGCACTGGCTTTATCTTCTGGCCCTGTGCTTTATGCCTGCATTATCTGTGGCAAGGACTGTCACTCAAGAATTAGACTTTGAAGCCACTTGCTATGCTGCATCATGACACACAGTAACTGAACTGCTTTGGCAAACACATCATCGTCTTTCAAGATGGAGGGTTGCCATTGCAATAGAAGTGTTTACCAAGTTACGGCAAACCTCCAAGTTTACCTCCCCTGTCTTCCTAGTCCAAATGCCCCAAGTATTTCCTAGTTAATACCAAAACCTCATCTTATCCTGGACAACTTTCTGCAATGACGTTAAATATATAGTCAATGCAAATGTGTGGCAAGTTCAAAATAGAAAAATTGGGAGCAGCACAAAATAAATTGAATTTAATAGTTAGATAATTAACACAAGCAATACTACTTGATTTTGTTCATTTTTAATTTAAAATTTAATTTAATTTTAAATCCATAAAAAAAATCCCTCTTTGCATTCACCTGAAGCTGCTGTAGACTTTCTGGTCTGCTCCACTGGAGTGTTGCAGAAATCAGGTGGCCTTCCTACAGAATTTAGGTTCAGCTTGCCAGAGAACAGTGGGGCCTTGGTGATGCCACTAAATGTCATTTGGGGCTACCTGTAACAAGTGGGATGAAAAGCTCTCAAATACTAGCTTTTCATTAAATATGTTTCTTTTTGATCCATGGAAACGTGAAGCGTCCTACTGGTAGTCTGAATGACTTGAGTTAGAGTGACCAATTTACTGCAACATGCCTTAGAGTCCTAGACGGTCCAAAATGTCTTTTAACTTAAGATTTTACTACAGGGATTGATATCTATGAATCTGAAATAGTATTTAACTTCAGAAAATAACTTGCTAGTTGTAATAATTGCACAGACACATGGTCATAAAGCTGTTTCATAGGCTGAAACGCACTCCTGGATGTGCTGTCAAAATGATCGTATATCGTGTACTTTGTGCACAAAGAATATATTTTGTTCACACTGGAGATTGCACATCTGTTCGTGTGTTCTGTGCACATACAGAATAGTATGCATTGTAGAAATTGGAGAGCAGGCCTCATAAGTCATGAATATAGAAAGAATCCATTCGAATTTGATAAGCACGTCCCCTTTATTTAAAACGTAGGACTAGAACTACACCTATGTGTATACAACAGTAGTTTTTACAAATGTTATACTCTGAATAAATCTATTATTTCACTTGTGTTTGGCCTTTAACTAGATCACCATGGCAATAATAGAATGTTATGAGAAACCTAATCTTAAATGTGGAATTGTGCTGATTAAGACACTATAGTAACCTTATTATCCAATGAGTATGAAGAACTTTTAAGTCATATAATTTATATTCCAAAGGAATCTGTTGCACATTATTGGTGGAGACTTTTTGCCAGTGATCAAGATAAACTTCAGACTGGTGCATATAATTTCTTATTTTAGCGTTCTTACATATGGGCAAGAACATGGGCATACCTAGAGCTAAAGTTGAATTGTTTTCTGTCCTTCTGTACTATGTCAGTAGGGAGTTTATTGAGTAGTTTATCATACCTGTGACACGGACTTTGTGTAATGGCCTGAAGATTTTGGGGTTTCACCCGATGAGAGAGAACCCCATTACCACACTAGGTGCCCTAGTTACCAAGTGATCCATATGTAGTTAATTAGGAAATCTTTTCTTGTATCATGCTCTACCCTTCCCACCTCACCAGTTATGTCAGCTGTGGGCGACATCATCTTGATGCCCATTTATTGTTGTCCTATAAGTGCATGCATGGAATGCTTTTCCTGAGCTGGTCTGTGTGCCAGTGGGAACTATTGGGTGTTGAGAAGTTGAAAATTGGGACACTTATTTATGCACCTGCATAAAGACTCAAGAACTTATCTTTAGGTGCCTGTTTTTAGAAATCTTGACTATACTAGGAGCATACTATCATGTAGTATAGTGTAAAATGTTGTTAAACAACTTTGTATGTCACATTTTGTCTGGACTTGTTCCTCGGTAGGATCTGAATAATTTTTTTCAGTTTCTTCTGGTTCTTGAAGCTTTTCAGAATGAGGAAAGAGAGCCTCATAATGTTACCTTTATTATCATAGTTTTCATCAAATTATATAAAGAAGTTAATGTCACTCCTTTGTTAGAACTACGTGCATCGAGGCACTGGTACACTAGATCTGTAAGAGAGGGAATGGGCATGCTCAGCCAAAGACAGATTGCTTCCGTCTGAAGTCTCCTCTTCAGTTCCCCTTGTAACATATATTGAATACAAATGGTATCTGATAGTAGTTCTGGAACCTGTACTCCCTAATGAAAATACCTTTGCTTGAGAAGAATAATTGAGAGAGATTAACCAGATTAAGGCTAAAAGGAAAACTCCAAGAAAAAAAACAAGCCCAGAAAAAGCCTACTGTAGCTTGTCAACTTGACTGGTATAGCAAAAACAATCTAATACTTTGTTAAAACAGGTTCGTTGTGTTGTCATTTCAGCTAGTAACTTAAGATTTATTGACATTACAACTTACTTTGTTCTCCCATAGCCTCATTTAAACTTTCAAAGTCAGCGACACCTGGAAAAATAACCTCTGTTTCTTAAAGCCACTTCACCTCTGCAAATAAAAGTGCTACCAACAATAAATAGAGTAGTGGAGCACAGATGCAACTGTGACATAAGAATAACATCTTTTAGGGTAGTCAAAAATGGAGTTGTCTAGTACTGTAGAAGGTATTGAGACATATTTAAATCAGCAGGTGCAGATAACTAATAAGAGTTTTAAATGAGCTGGCTGAGGAGCTAACTGTAATGTTGATTTTTCAATCAGTTTTGGCCCATTGGGGAAGTTCCCTAAGGCTGGAAGAAAGCTAATGTTGTACCAATTTTTAAAAAGGATAAATGGGTAATTATAGGCCGTCAACCTGACATCGATCCTGGGCAAGATAATGGATGAAGAACTCAATAACTAAATAAAGGCGGTTAATGTAATTAATGTAAATCAACATGAGTTTATGGGAAATAGATCCTGTCAAACTAATTTGGTATTTTTTTTTTTTAAAATGAGGTTACAAGTTTGGCAGATAAAGATAATAGTGTTGATGTTATATACTTAAACTTCTATAAGACATTTGACCTGCTACCGCACAACATTTTGATGAAAAAACTAGAATGATATAAAATTAACCTGGCACCCATTAAATGGATTAAAAACTGGCTAAATAATAGGTCTCAAAATGTGATTTTAAATAGGGAATCATCCTCAAGCGCGTGTTTTTTCAATGGTGTCTCACATGGATCAGTTCTTGGCCCTACTCCATATAATATTTGTATCAGTGACCTGTAAGAAAGCATAAAATCATCATTGATAAAGTTTGCAAATGACACACACATTGGGGGAGCGATGAAGAGGACAGGTCATTGTTTCAAAACAGTCTGGATAGCTAGGTTAACTGGGTGGAAGCATACATTGTGTTTTAATACAACTAAATGTAAATATGTACATCTAGGAATAAAGAATGTCGGCCAGACTTGGAATATTGGGGACTCTGTCCTGGGAAGCAGTGACGGAAGAAGCTTGGGGAATTGTGGTGGATAATCAACTGAACATGAGCTCCTGGTACAACACTGTGACCAAAAGAGCTAATAAAATTCTGGGATCCATTAAGAGGGGAAGCTTGAGTAGGAGTTGAATAGGAGCAGAGGGGTTATTTTACTGCTGTATTGGGCACTGTGGCATTGGTGCGACTGGTGCTGGAATACTGTGCCCAGTTCCAGTGCCCAAAATTCAAGAAGGATGTTGACAAACTGGAAAGTGTTCAAAGAAGAGGCACGAGAATGATTAAAGGATTAGAAAAGATGATAGCGATAGACTTAAAGAGTTCAATCTATTTAACTCAACAAAGAAAAGTTTAAGGAATGACGTAATTATCACCGATAAGTATCTACACGAGGAACAAATATTTAGTAATGGACTTTTAAATCTAGCAGAGAAAGGTCCACGAGCCAGTGACTGGAAACTAGACAAATTTAGACTGGAAATAAGGTATAATTTTTTAATGGTAAGAATAATTAACAGTTAGAACAATTTACCCAGGGTTGTCGTGGATTTTCTATCACTAACGATTTTTAAAACAAGATTGGATATTTCTCTAAAAGATATCCTAGGAATTAATTTGGGGAATTTCTATGGCCTGTGTTATACAGGAAGTGAGACTGATATGCACAATGGTTGCTTCTGGCCTTGGAATCTATTAATCTATAAACCACTGAGGGCAAAATTTTCAAAACAGACTCAGCTTGGCTTTTAAATTTACCTCCTTACGTTTTTGGATGCATATCTAGACACCACTTTTGAATTTGCATGTTTTTAAAGATCTGTTTGGTTATGTGCTTGTTCATTGTAGCGTTTTTAGAAGATAGTGTTTTTGACAGGATTGTTCTGTTTAATAATTATAATTGTTCTTAACACTCAAATCCATGTTTTGCAGGATAAAGAGGCATTGCAACAGCAGCAATACAATAATTTGATCCAGATCTCTGCCCTGCAGTCTAAACTGGATGAAGCCAGGCACAGAGTACCTTCTGAAGGCAGTTCTGATCATGGGCTAAAGGAACAATTACAGGCAGAGCAGGAGGCACTCCTAATGAAAGAGAGAGAGGTAAATCTGAAACTAACATTTCAGTTGCTATATCTAGAATCTGAGAATAAAGAACACTTATGTAAAACTATGTCTAAGAATTTAATCCATTAAAAATCAGGAAATTGATCATTCTTACATCAACTGTACGTCACTGGGCATATCTCCATTTTTGTTCTTTTACTGTTTCTGTATGTTCCTGACCTTGATTATTAATGATCACTAGACCAAGAACTAGGCCTAACCTCGACTATCTAAATTATGGCTCCTTTTTGGCGATCACATTTCACTCTCTCTTTCTCCCCCCCAACTTTTATTTGGCTGTATATTGCCTAGGCAAGCATTTTTGGACAGGGATACTCAGAAATTGAACCTCTATTCAGGTCTCTCCCTGCAGTTTCTCAGTTCCACAATTCATTGCAGAAAATGCCCAATACTATGCTTGGAGGCCAGAGTAGCATAACTCTAGTGATAAGTCACTGAGCCTCTCTGGGCCTCAGTTCCCCATCTTTAAAAATGGGCTGATAATGCTTCCCTATCGCGCACGGGAGCTGAGGATAAATACATTCAAAATTGCAAAGTGCTTTGAAATCTGCTGAGGAAAAGCACTACATAAGAAACAGGCTTTATTATTATATAAGCTATTCTTAACACAAAATGTATGCATTTTGATTTACAGTACAAAAAAAGTGCCTGTCCCATGTGCCAGACACAAATCATAGCAATTTTAAAATAACCATCTTAAAAGATTTCTAAGCTTTTTGGGTCTCTAACTTGAAAATGGCTCACTTCTTCAAATTTTTCATGTTTAAATATGCTTAAAATCCCATGCATTAGCTACTTTTTCACAAACAAACCTATTAGCGTTTGTCATTCCTTCTTGGTTTCATATCTAAAATGTTTTATTGTGGCATTGTCTTTAAAATGTGTAGATACCAAAGCACTCTTTGGTTGTTTAAATTCTTACGTGAGAATTTTGACAGGGAAAATTTTATATGTAAGCACACTTCATACAGGAAAACTTCTATATGGACAGTTTGGAATGGTAATACTTTGAAAATGAAGTGCTGAATTGCCCACTATCTCCAATTTCGCAGTGCCACTCGTCCCCATAGACAAAACCAAGTCTCGGTTCTGTTCACTCCATGCCCCCCAACAGGTCCAACTAGTGTGTTGCTTTTGACATCCTCGTAGATTCCAAGACCAGAATGGACCATTGGCATCATCTAGTCTGACCTCCTGTATAACACAGGCCATAGACTGTCCCCAAATTCATTCCTAGAGCATATAGACATACATAAAGACAGTTACAAAGTTTAGAAGCTCAACAGACACAGGCCATACAGTGCTTCTGAGCTCTGTGTTTGTCCCTGCCAAGTTTGTAGGCTCTTGAATGATGGCTAAGTATGTAGTAGAAGAATCCTCATTTTACAGAAGGAAAGGTGAAGTCAAGGGTTAGGTGATTTACACACAATGACTGTGGTAGTTTCTAAGCCGAGATTAGAATTTGGAAGTTTGATCCCAGTCTGGATATTAGGACACTGGATTCTTCCTCTCCCTTTTGTCTCTAATACTATATTTGTGTGAGTTCTATTTAGACAGTTTTGTAGCAATGGAATTGGCTGTAGTTACTTATTCTTCATAAAGTAATGTGAAGAACCAATGTAATCAATTTTTGTTTAAATAAAGGCGCCTACCAAAACGATGTTTTCCTGTGTTTTAGATCCTGAGTTTGTTAGAGCAACTAGAACAGTTTAAAGAAAACTTAATCAATAAAAATGAGGAAATCTTGCAGCTGAACTTGCAGTTAGAGATGCAAAAAAACCTTACCGCTGGCATCGGCCAGCTTCAAATAGAGAATGCTCATCTGAAGGTATGTTGAGCCATTTAACTTTACTCTAACCTGCCTTAGAGACCACCTGTCATGAGCAACTTCTTGCAGAGGCCAGGGAACATCACCACTCTCCGGTGTACAAACCTTTGAAGAGAGACCACCTCTTACAAAAGACCACTTTTGCGAACTTCCGTGAGTGGTCGCCCTCAGCAGGTTTTACTATGGTTCCTTAGAGATGCTTGTCTTTGAAGGATTCAGTGTTTTATAACCTTTTTTTGGTTTAATAATTTTAGTAACTTTTGTATCTAGTTTGCCTCTAGTTTTAAAAGGAATCTACTGTTGTTCTTCGAGTGATTGCTCATGTGTATTCCACAATAGGTGTGCGTGCTCGCCACGTGCACCGGTGCCAGAAGTTTTTCCCCTAGCAGTACCCGAAGGGGGGAGCGCCCCCTGTGACCCCTGGAGTGGCGCCTGCCTGGCGCGGCATAAGAGGAGCTGTGCGCCCCCCCCCCCCCCCGAGTTCCTTCTTGCCGCCAGTGAAGGTGTATTGGAAGTACTCTGCTCCAGCTTTGCTGTAGCTTGTCCCCAGAACTGTTTGTTTGTTTAGTACCTGTAGTTAGTTAGTGTACTTAGTTTAGTTAGTGAGTGAGCCCGGGCCAGGGCATGCCCCGAGCCCCGAGATTTAAGTCGTGCAGTTCTTGTATCCCAAGAAGCAACCCGCACACACTGTGCTGCTTGGGAGAAATCCATATCAGCGAGAGGTGCAAGATATGCAAATCGTTTAAGCCTCGGACCAAAAGAGAAAGGGACATTAGGCTTCGAACCATTCTGATGGAGTCGGTGCTGACCCCGACTCCGGCACACCGCTTTGAGGCAGGACCCGGGCACCGCGGTGTCAGTACGCGGTGATCCGCCGGTGCCATCGACCAGTCGGCACTGCTCCCCGTCCACGGGGCACACCAAGAAGACTCCCTCTTTGCAGCGGCACCGTGGGAAGTCTGGGACAGAGGCTAGGCCCATGTCGGGCAGTCCTCGATCCCCACCGGGCCCTAGGCCTCTGACTCATGTAGAGTGGAGTAGCCCGGCCCCTTCGGAACAGGTCTCTCTGGATGCCGTCCACGCCCGAAGCCCTGCAGGTGGCCCGGGACGTCTTGTCCATGCCGGTGCCCGGAGCGCTGCCGATTTCAGCCTGACGCTCCAGAGGCAAGCCTCCGCTGGGATCTCCACAGTCACCCCCGGCTCGGTACCGGTCTCAGTCGAGGGAACGTTCCCGATGTCGATCACCGCCCAGCATCTGCTCGGGGCAGAGTCCATGTGGATTGCCCTCGACGCCAACGACTCACAGCACCAGTCCTTCTCAGAAAGCGTATATCGACAGGACCACAGCAGACATCGTCGTCGGTCCTTGTCCCGGAGAGGGTACCGCAGTTGGTCAAGGCACGATCATCGACGCCATTCCCGCTCGGGCTCCTGCTCCAAGTCTCCACTAAGGCACCGCAGCCCCGGGCATCGATCGTCGTTGCCTCGCCGGCGCGGGTCCGCCCGTTGAGGCCGTTCGCGGAGCAGCTATTACCGTCGGTACCGGTCCTCCACGTCGAGATCGCGGTCCCGTGACCATTGCAGATCCTGGCACCACCGCTCGTCCTGGTTGAGAGACAGCAGTGGATCCTATGCCAGCCTGGTCTCCATTCGTAGGCCACCAACCTGGGCAGCCGGCCCTGCCGGTGCCACAGCAGGTGCAGTGGCACCAAGCGTCGTGGCCTGCCCGGTGGTACCAGTGGGCACCTTGGTCTCCGGCGCAGCCCCCGGTGGGAGCTCGCTCAGTGGCCGGAGCTTCGGAAGCACCGTCAGCCTCCCTCTCTAGAACCCCGACAAAGAAGTTGGTGGGACACTCGTCCTTGGTACCGTGCCCAGAGGCCGACCAGGTGGTGGATCCTCTGATGTCGCCAACACCCAAAACATCGCACTGGCTTCTTCGCCCTGCCCAGAGGAGGCGATTGTGGCCCACCCCCCCTCCATCCCGCAGGAGGACTTCAGGGCCCACCAAGAGCTCTTAAAGAGGGTGGCAGCAAACCTCCATCTCCAGGCAGAGGAGATGGAGGAGCCCTCGGACTCCCTGTTCAACGTGTTGTCCCCATCAGCACCGGGTAGGGTGGCCTTGCCACTCCATGAAGGGGTGGCTAAAATTTCAAATGCCTTGTGGCCCCCATATCAAAAAAGGCAAAACACAAGAACACCTCTACCCCAATATAACGCTGTCCTCGGGAGCCAACAAATCTTACTGCGTTATAGGTGAAACCGCGTTGTATCGAACTTGCTTTGATCTGCCGGAGTGCGCAGCCCCGCCCCCCCGGAGCGCTGCTTTACCGCGTTATATCCGAATTTATGTTATATTGGGTCGTGTTATATAGGGGTAAAGGTGTACTTGTACCCACTAAAGGGCATGAGTATCTATATACCCACCCGGCGCCTAACTCCCTGGTGGTTGAGTCGGTCAGCCACAGGGAACGACAGGGTCAGCCAGCCCCAACCCCAAAGAACAAAGATTCTTGGAGGCTGGACTCTTTCGGAAGAAAAATTTATTCGTCTTTGAGTTTCCAGTTACTAATGGCAAACCATCAGGCCCTCTTGGGTTGGTACGAATTTAATCTGTGGGGCTCTGCCTAAATCTGAGGTCTCCCTCCAGGAGTGCGATAAGGAGCTCTGGGCACTGGTGGAGGAAGGGGCAGCGGCAGCTCGGGCTTCCCTGCAGGCTGCCTCGAATGTTGTGGACAGCCGCATGTTCAGTGGCCTCTGTGGTGTCCATGAGACGGGCGTCATGGTTCCTGCTCTCCAGCAAGGCACAATCTTCCATGCAGGATCTCCCGTTTGATGGGAAAGCTCTGTTTGCAGAGGAAACAAATACAAGACTGCAAGGCATGAAGGACTCCTACACGACCCTCCCGACCCTGGGTTTCTATGTCCGGGCTCCGGCAAAACCTAAGTTCAAGCCGCAGCAGACTCCAACCCCAGCCACCCTCCCGAAGTACGAGGCCGCCCATAAGAAGCAATGGGACTATAAGAGACGCCCTCACAGGCAGTCTCAGCCTGCTCCCGAGTCTGGACCCTCCAAGGGCAAGCAGGCGGGGAAAAGGCGATTTTGACGGGATGCTCGGGGGCAACCTGCCAGTCCTCATCAGAGATCCAACCCCAGTAAAGCTTCCCTTCTCCAACCGGTTGTGTGCTTTCCTTCCAGAATGGTCTCGGCTTACTTTGGACCGATGGGTCCTCAACACCATCTCCTGCGGTTACACCCTCTAGTTTACCTCCTCCCCGCCCAACCACCCCCCGTCCCTCCTGGGAGACCCCTCGCACGAAGCTCTGCTCGAGCAGGAGGTGGGGTGGCTCCTAGGACTGGGAGTGATAGAGGTGGTGCCCGAGGAGTTCATGGGAAAGGGGTACTACTTCCGTTATTTCCTTATCCCGAAGGCCAAAGAGGGTCTCAGGCCCGTACTGGACCTATGGGGTCTGAACCAGTACATGGTGAAGCTCAAGTTCCGCATGGTCTCCCTGGCCTCCATCATCCCCTCCCTGGATCCCGGGGACTGGTACCCTGCCCTTGATCTACAGGATGCGTGCTTCCACATCAACATATTCAAGGGGCACCGACTCAGTCACAAGGTTCCCGGTGATAACAGCCAGGGTTTGCCTGCAGCTCTTGGGTCATATGTCGGCGTGCACGTATGTGGTCTGTCACGCCAGACTCAGAATGAGGCCCCTCCAGCTCTGGTTGGCCTTGAATTTCTCCCAGGCCACAGACAGGATGGACAAGGTCCTCACTGTGCCGGATGCTGTGATTACCTCCCTGTGATGGTGGTCCACCCCGAACAACATGCTCCAAGGAGTCCCATTCAGGGACAGGGCTCCGTCGCTGGAGCTGGTGTCCAATGCGTCGGACCTGGGTTGCGGGGCCCATGTGGGGAGCTTTCAGACCCAAGGCCTGTGGTCGGCTCAGGACCTGCCCCTACCCATAAACATCAAGGAGTTCAGAGCGGCGCGGCTGGCGTGTATGGCCTTCTGCTCGCACCTGGAGGGCAAGGTAATCGGGGTCCTCACGGACAACATGGCCTTGATGTTCTATATCAACAGGCAAGGCAGGGCCCGCTCTTCTGCCCTCTGCCTCGAAGCCCTCAGGCTGCAGGACTTCTGTATAGCATACGACATCCACCTGAAGGCCTTCCACTTACCGGGCGCCCGCAGTGAGAGGGCGGATCACTTGAGCAGGGACTTCTCCTCGCAACACGAGTGGTCCCTCCACCTGGAAGTGGCCCACCAGATCTTCCGAAGGTGGGGAACTCCCCAGGTGGACCTATTCACGACTTGGTAGAACAGGCAGTGCCCCCGGTTCTGCTCCAGGGGGGTCTGGGGAGGAGCGCAGTCTCCGATGCCTTTCTCCTGTCCTGATCAGGCCGGCTTCTCTACGCCTTCCCCCCCGTTCCCTCTGATCAGCAGGGTCCTGGAGAAGATAAAGTCGGACAAGGCCTGAGTCTTCCTGATTGCCCTGGCGTGGCCCAGGCAGTATTGGTGCGGGACCCTAAGGGCCTAGCGGTAGCTCCACCGTGGCCGTTGCCGCTTCGCCCGGACCTGCTCTCACAGGACCAGGCCGCCTCCTCCACATTAACCTAGTGGCTTCACCTTACGGCGTGGCTGCTCAATGGTTAGGTGGAGAGGAAAGGACGTGCTCAGAGCAAGTTCAGCGCGTCCTCCTCGAAAGTAGACAGCCCTCCACTCGCCGCGCTTATTTGGCGAAGTGGTCCCGGTTTTCTAGGGTGTCTCCCCGGTGACCAACCCGATCCAGCTTATCCTTGATTACCTCCTCCACCTGAGGGCCCAGGGCCTGATGCCCTCGTCCGTCAAGGTGCACCTGGCGGCCATATCAGCCTTCCATCCGCCAGTGCAAGGACACACGGTGTTTTCCCATGCTATGACTGGCCGGTTCCTTAAGGGTCTAGACCATCTTTTCCCGTATTCTAGACCCCCGGTTCCACAGTGGGACCTAAACCTGGTGTTGGCTCATCTCATGGGGCCTCCGTTTGAACCACTGGCCACGTGCTCCTGGTCTTACCTCTCATGGAAGGTGGCCTTTCTGGTTGCAATCACGTTGGCCCGGTGAGTCTCAGAGCTCAGGGCCCTGACCTCCGAGCCACCGTATATGGTCTTTCATAAGGACAAGGTCCAGCTCCGCCCACACCCCACGTTCCTCCAGAAGGTGGTCTCTGCCTACCACATGGGTCAGGACATTTTTCTACCGGTGCTCTGCCCCAAGCCTCATGCATCCAGTGAGGAACGCCGCCTCCACATGCTTGACGTGCGGCAGGCTCTGGCTTTCTACCTTGAGTGGATTAAGCCGTTCAGAAAGTCCTTGCAACTGTTTGTTGCCTCGGCTGAGTGCTCGAGGGGCCAGCCGATTTCCACTCAGCGGCTTTCCAAATGGATCACTTCGTGCATCCGTTCCTGTTATGAGCTGGCGGGCGTTCCCTTACCACCTATTGTGAGGGCACACTCGACCTGAACACAGGCCTCATTGGCTGCCTTCGTGGCCCACGTCCCCATCCAGGACGTTTGTAGAGCCGCCACATGGTCGTCGGTTCACACGTTCACCTCACTCTATGCGATCGTCTCCCAAACCAGGGATGATGCCGGGTTTGGCAAGGCTGTGCTCCATCCCGGGAACTTGTGAACTCCTACCCACCTCCAACAGATATAGCTTGGAATACACATGAGCAATCACTTGAAGAAAAGACAGTTACCTTTTCTGTAACTGGTGTTCTTGGAGATGTGTTGCTCATGTCTATTCCACATCCCACCCTCCTTCCCCTCTGTCGGAGTTGTCTGGCAAGAAGGAACTGAGGGTGGGGGAGTGGATTGCCTAAGCAGGTTCTTCTCCCGACAACACGAGTGGTCTCTACACAGGGAGGTGGCCAGGCAGCTCTTCCTAGAGTGGGGCACTCCCCAGGTGGATCTGTTCGCCACCGTCCAGAATCACCTGTGCCCATGATTCTGCTCCAGAGCGGGAGAGGGCGAAGGGGCGATATTGGACGCGTTCCTAATCCCATGGTCCGGCTGCCTGTTCTACGCCTTCCCGCCCTTCCCCCTGATAGGCAGGGTCCTACAGAAGGTAAAGGCAGACGGGGCTCGGATTATCCTCATAGCCCCGGATTGGGCCCGTCAACATTGGTACGGGACCCTCCTGCAGCTTTTAGTGGCCCCCCCACACAGGCTGCCGCTTCGACCGGACTTCCTCTCCCAGGAGGGAGGATGTCTCCTCCACCCCCACCTGGCCACATTCCATTTGACAGCGTGGCTGCTCCGTGGTTGAATGAGGAGGAAGGGAGATGTTCTCAGGATGTTAGACAAGTCCTGCTTGAGAGCAGGAAACCGTCCACACGTCAAATCTACCTGGCCAAATGGTATCGGTTCTCCAGGTGGGCCAGGGAGAGGGGTTCTTCCCCCTCCTCCGCATCTATCCAGCTCATCCTCGATTACCTCCTGTCCCTTAGGACTCAAGGGCTGGTGCCCTCCTCGGTCAGGGTGCACCTGGCAGCCATTTCGGTGTTTTCACACCACATGACCTCGCAGTTCCTAAAAGGGCTGGATCGGGCATTCCCTTATGCTAGACCCCCGGTCCCACTGTGGGACCTGAACCTAGTGCTTTCTCGCCTCACAGGGCCTCCCTTTGAGCTCTTGGCAACGTGTTCTTGGTCCCACTTATCGTGTAAAGTTGCCTTCCTGGTAGCAATCACCTCAGCCAGCCGGGTCTCGGAGCTTAGGGCCCTGACCTCTGAACCCCCGTATATGGTCTTCCATAGTGATAAGGTCCAGCTCCACCCGCACCCAGCTTTTCTGCCGAAGGTAGTCTCGGCTTTTCACATGGATCAGGACATCTTCCTCCCAGTTCTCTGTCCTAAGCCCCATTCCTCCAATGAGGAACGACGCCTGCACATACTAGATGTGCGTAGAGCGCTGGCTTTTTACTTAGACCGAACCAGGCCGTTCCGAAAATTCCCTCACCTTTTCATTGCTTCGGCCGAGTGTATGAGGGGGCGACCGGTCTCCACCCAGCGGATCTCCGCTGGATCACCTCATGCATACGCACTTGTTACGACCTGGCAGGGGTTCCCCCCGCCTCCTATAGTGAAGGCTCATTCGACGAGGGCTCAGGCCTCATCCACTGCCTACATGGCTTATGTCCCTATTCAGGACATCTGCAGGACTGCTACTTGGTCCTCTGTCCATACCTTTTCATCGCACTATGCGATAGTCTCCCAAACGCGGGATGACGCCGGGTTTGGTAGGGCGGTACTCTGCCCTGGTAACCCTTAAATTCCTACCCACCTCCATCAGGTATAGCTTGGAATCACCTACTGTGGAATACACATGAGCAATCACTCGAAGAAGAAAGGTCAGTTACCTGTTCCATAACTGGCGTTCTTCGAGATGTGTTGCTCAGGTGTATTCCCCATCCCGCCCTCCTTCCCCTCTGTCGGAGTTGTCTGGTAAGAAGGAACTGAGGGTGGGGGAGCGCGCAGCCCCCTTTATAGCGCAATATAGAGGCGCCACTCCAGGGGTCGCAGCGGGGCTCCCCCACTACGGGTACTGCTAAGGGAAAAACTTCTGGCACCGGTGCACGTGGCAAGCACGCACACCTATTGTGGAATACACCTGAGCAACACATCTCAAAGAAAGCCAGTTATGGAACAGGTAACTGTCCTTTACTTGTTCCCTTAATATAAGATTGGTCCTGCTTGAGCAGGGGGTTGGACTAGATGACCTCCTGAGGTCCCTTCCAACCTTGATATTCTATGATTCTAAGAACTAGGGGCCACCAAATGAAATTAATAGGCAGCAGATTTAAAACAAATAAAAGGAAGTTCTTCACACAGCGCGCAGTCAACCTGTGGAACTCCTTGCCTGAGGAGGTTGTGAAGGCTAGGATTATCACAGGTTTTAAAAGAGAGCTAGATAAATTTATGGAGGTTAAGTCCATTAATGGCTATTAGCCAGGATGGGTAAGGAATGGTGTCCCTAGCCTCTGTTTGTCAGAGGGTGGAGATGGATGGCAGGAGAGAGAGATCACTTGGTCATTACCTGTTAAGTTCACTCCCTCTGGGGCACCTGGCATTGGCCACTGTCGGTAGACAGGATACTGGGCTAGATGGATCTTTGGTCTGACCCAGTATGGCTACTATTATGTTCTTATGATTACAGGACCACACTAAATGTACCTTACCAGTTTGACAGCGAACCATTGATAACTATAATGCTGATTTCTTGTAAAACGGCTATAGAATTTATTAAACGGATGAAATTCTATTCTGTTCTTTAAAAAAAATGCATTTAATGTGAGCTTTCATTTCTCGACCTGTACAGCCATGTTAAATAAATATTCCACGTTATAGAATTGATCAGCAGTCAGTTGGGCAATTATATAGTCCAACACTTTCCCTCAAAACTGGAAAATTCAGCCTGGTAACTTAGTCCTTTGAAGTCAGGACTCAAAAATCCAATGGAAATCATAGTTTAAAAAAAAAAAATCTCCTGGGAGAGAAATAGGGAGGGGAATTGGTGAAAACAGATTTATCAGTAGTAAGGGTGTAATCAAAATAGTTTAGCAGAAAGAGGGTGCCTTATAGTGTTAACTATTTTGAGGACTTAAAAATCAAATACTGACAAAAATCAGCACAGCTTTGCTTTCGTATTATAAGGGGGATGGATAGTCCTTTTATGATCCAGATTGTTTCTTTTTTCAATCAGGAGGACATAGCAAAACTCCGCATGATGCAAAGTCAGAACGTGGGTAGTAGTGAATCAGCAGTTTTGCAGTTCCCACAGGCTTTGCTTGAGGAAAAGAATCAAGAAATTGATCATTTGAACGAGCAGATTGAGAGACTCCAGCGTGAACTGGACGGTGCCACAGACAATAAGGTGAGAATGTTTTTGAGATGCTGGTTGCTTAATATGGGGGAACAGTGGTGTTACAGTGTGAGTGTGTGTGGTATTACAGGTGGAATAGATCTGATGTTTTGCCTCAAGAAAATAGATTAGCATGTGAGTAGTGTTACTGTCTTCAGGAGAAACCGTTTCCCATATTGAGTTACTTCCTTAGGGAATGGCTAGTGCTACAAAGGGAGCCTTAAAATAAGCAAAGAGCCTACAGCCTGTTGCACTGTGCGGTGCGCAGGAGTGGGAGAACTCCTTTCTGGTCCCTACCAGGGATTAGTCTGAACTCTGAAACATGAGATTTGATTACTTTTATTACCTTGGTTTGTGTAACTGCAGACGTTAGAATCCACACAATTATCAAATTTAGGAAAAACACCAAGGCACAATATTCACTTTCATGACCTCCAGTACTCGTCAGTCCCACTATGTGATTATAAATGGGGTAAAGAAACATCTCCTTTTGTTGATTTCTAACTTACTGCCCTTTCAATTTTGTGTTCTCTTGTTATGTACTGTCAAGTGGGGTAAAAAAAACAGATGTGCCTTTAATTTCCAGGGCAGGAATTCCTGATTTTATCAATCAATTATGTAAATCCCACCATAATTCTAACTATTTGTGTTATGTAATCCTTCTCTGGTCATTTCCTGTCTTTGTTGAAGTTTTTTGTGTGCCATATGCAGTAACACAACTACAAAATAGGCAAGACCACATTGAGGAAGGGTCATTTATAAGGATCCTTTGTGAGACTGGGTGGAAGTGGGGATTTGCTATTGTGGATATTTTGTTTTGTTGTTTGATTGACAAGCTGCTTTTTGAGAGGGACCTCCTGCTGCTTTTATTTATCGTCATGGGTTGTATTTAATGGGTGTCAGTCTGGGCTGGGTGTCTCTTAAAATATTAAATCAAAATAAAGTAAAGAATAATTTAAAGAAATAATATTTACTCTGCCCTACAGCCTAACCGTTTTCCGTGTAATTCAAAATTTGCCCCTTTTCAGCCTAATCTGCCCTCTGTAAGGGAACATGGTGGCATTGCCTAACACAGTGGGGTCCTGATCTCCAGCCAGCGCCTCTAGGTGCTACGATAATAGAAATGATAAATAGAGAAATTATTATTCTATAAACTATTAAGGATAACAAACTTAATCGTACAGTACTAATTACAGTATAATTCTAGTTTATCCAAATTCCCTTTATCCAAAAATCCTAGGTATCCAAATACATAGTGTCCCTCCCATGTCTCCCTATGTTAATTGTATGCTAATAACTTCTCAATTCTTTGCACCTGTTAGCGCTATGTATTCATATGGTGGGTTCTGAGCAGTTAGTGAGACCTGATCCTGATTCAGCTATAACAGCAGCTTTGAAGGACAATGTTGGGGGGGGTGGGGGGAAACTGTGTTAAAATCATAGAATATCAGGATTGGAAGAGACCTCAGGAGGTCATCCAGTCCAACCCCCTGCTCAGAGCAGGACCAATCCCCAACTAAATCATCTCAGCAAAGGCTTTGTCAAACCAGGCCTTAGAGGTTTTTAAGGATGGAGATTCTACCACCTCCCTAGATAACCCATTCCAGTGCTTCACCACCCTCCTAGTGAAATAGTGTTTCCTAATATCCAACTGAGACGTCTCCGCTTCAGACGATTGCTTCTTGTTCTGTCATCTGCCACCACTGAGAACAGCCGAGCTCCATCCTTTTTGGAATTCCCTTTCAGGTAGTTGAAGGCTGCTATCAAATCCCCCCTCACTCTCTCTTCTGCAGACTAAATAACCCTAGTTGCCTCAGCCTCTCCTCGTAAGTCATATGCCTCAGCCCCCTAATCATTTTCCTTGCCCTCTGCTGGACTCACTCCAATTTGTCCACATCCCTTCTGTAGTGGGGGGACCAAAACTGGACACAGTACTCTGGATGTGGCTTCACCAGTGCCAAATAGAGGGGAATAATCACTTCCCTCGATCTGTTGGCAATGCTCCTACTAATACAGCCCAATATGCCGTTGGGCCTCCTTGACAATGAGGGCACACTGCTGACTCGTATCCACTGTGATCCCCAGGTCCTTTTCTACAGAACTTCTGGTTAGCCAGTCGGTCCCCAGCCTGTAGCGGTGCATGGGATTCTTCCTTCCTAAGTGCAGGACTCTGCACTTGTCCTTGTGGAACCTCATCAGATTTCTTTGGCCCAACCCTTAATTTGTCTAGGTCACTCGGGACCCTATCCCTACACTCCAGCGTATCTACCTCTCCCCTCAGTTTAGTGTCATCTGCGAAGTAGCTGAGTGTGCAATTCATCCCATCATCCAGATCATTGATAAACTGTTGTGAAACTGCATCTCAAAATAGCACTTCCATTTAGCCAGTCACTCAGTTATCCAAAACTTTTGGATGTCCCTGAGGCCATTTGGATAAATGAGAGCATACCCAATGAAACTCATTCACTCATCTTGCTAACTAGGTTCCCAATATTATCATAAGACCAAAGTTGTGAGTGATTTTCTGTTTTGGAGGCTCAAAATGAGGAGCGCGCACACACAAAAATCATGTTATCAGGACGTTGCTTTTTAAAATGTGTCCTAGTGTACCATTTTTTCTAGATAATAGTGAGGTATTTAAAGGTGAACTGAACTCTAATCACTTCAGCTAATGAATTGTGAATAGTTAGTTGCCATTTTACCAGGTTGCTGACATAGACCCATGTATTTCTTCCTTTTATTTCAAAGGAAATTCTGTGAAAATCTCTGCAGCTCAGGTTGTTGCATAGCTCCAACCCATCCTCTTCTCACAGAGGTGTGGGCATGGCTAGGTGAACATGACCACCAAAACCTGGAATGGGACAAGACCCATGGGAAAACTCAGACCCCCCTGGATGTCAACCTTAACAAAGAGATCACTCCCCTTCTTCCTCCACCCCAGGTCCCTATGCTACTGTTAATGCAGCTTGCCACGTCTTCTCAATAATCTGGAAAAACCTGCAGTAGAGTGTAATTGTTGCATAGAAGGTTGCATTATGACTTGTGCTGCATTGAGAAAATGGTTCATTAAACAGTTGTTCCCTTTCCCCTTAATGCCCCCCTGACAAAAATATCCTGGTAGTACCGAGTTCAGCTTTTGATTTTAAGCTGTAGTAGAGTGCAGGGTGACTACGTGGAGGTGTTTAGGGAGTAGCTTCCCCTCCCAAATGTGGGTTTCTCAGTTTTGCTATGACTTGTACCCTCTCTCTTATGGCATATGCTGCTCAGAGGAGAAGCTGCTTAATTCTTAGTCTTAGAGTTAAGCATTTGTTGAAAATACATTTGATTTTTAAAAATTTAATGAAAATACATGTAACAAAAACCCCTTTCAAAACACTACTGAGTAGCATGTAATTATATAGTATACGTTATGTGGGTATGCTAATACTTAAAATAAATATTTAGCTATTCAAAGTCCATCTTTTTCAGCTGCAAGAAGGGGAAGGAAAATTTAACTTCTAAAGTGAGCACACTAATAATTAAGCTATTGTGAAAGATTTCATTTTGGGGGGACAGGATGGGGTTGTCCTTGCAAGTCAGGTCGATGGACAGCATTCTTTAGGGAAACTGAGAGGTCCCACTCTTTCCAGCTGTGAGAGGGAGGGACTTAGATGTACTGGCCTTCTCACCAGGAAACTATCTCTGGACTGTGCTTGGGAATGGGGGCTTTTTCCATGTCTGTTAATGAGGTTAGTGTTTTAGCTACCAGGCTCCAGGTAAGGTTTTCAAACCTTGCCCTTATTAAATCTGTTTTATTGACTGGCTGCTTTGAAGATGTGGTCCTTCTAGTAACTGAAATTGCACATATGTTGTTTTGGTAAATGAACTTTTAAGTGGTGGGAATTCTGATACCTCAACAGAAGTTACTCTGTGTACCATTGGCATTTCAGTCTTGTTCTCTCTCTCAGGTTGTGGAAAACGGAAAATCTGAAATCGATGAACTCAGGTTACTCGTCGAGCACCTTCGTGGTGACCAGGAAAGACTGCATAGGGATAAAGCAGAAGAGGTAGAGCAGCTTCATGGAGTAATTGAGAAGCTTCAAAAGGAGCTGATACAACTTGGACCCATGTGTCATGAAGTTAGTGACAGCGAAGATAACCGTAACGTGCTTAGGTTGGAGGAGCAGGTAGAGAATCTTCAGAATGAGTTGAAGAAAGGATCACTAGATTTTCAGGAGCATTCAGATAAGAATAAGAAAACTGTATTGCTACATTCCAAACTGAAGGAGCTTCAGGAAGAATTAGAACTTGTCTCAACTGCTAGAGAAGCCCTGCAGCAGCTGCTTGAAGAGAAGGAATCTCAGTTTAAAATGGAGGTGGAAATTTTAGAGCAAAATCTTCAAAATGTGCAGGAGTCTTCAAGGCAGCACTTGGCAGAGTTAACATCCCTAAGAATACAGTATGATGCATTTCAGGAGGAGTACAGCCTTCTAAGAACACACCTCTCTCAGAGAGATGGTGAAATGGGGATCATGGCCTCTCGCATTCAAGAGCTTGAAGATACACTAAGAGCAAGAGAAGCAACTCTTTTAGAGAGCGATCTGCAGATTAAGACAGTAGCAGAGCAGAGAGTAGTGGATGCAGCTGAATTACAGCACCTAGCAGAAAAGATTGCAAGACTTGAAGATGAACTGTTAAAGAAGGATCTGCATCAGAAAACTGAGGCTGAAGAAGTTCAAACCCTTCAGTCGGAAGTCTCCAGGCTTGATTTCAAGGTTCAAACACTGAATCAGAAAGAAGTAGTTTACCAGAGAGAAATAGATGAACTTCAAGCAAATTCTATAAAATTGAAGGATCAGGTCCAGGAGTTTTTGAAAGAACTCCAAGCCCTGCGCTCTGAAAGAGATGACCTTTATTCACAGCTGGCATCCTACAAGGAAAAGAATCAAAGTAATGATCAAGAAGCTAAACTTCATAAACCGATCTTAAAACAAGAAAGAGAGGTTCCGGTTCATACAAATGGAATGGAGAAATTGAGAGAAGAGAGAGGAGCAAATGTTGATCAGTCATTTGCAGCTTCAGTTTCCCAAAGTGATAAATTGGTATGCATTATTTTTTAACGTTTTTTAAATGTTGAAGAGTTAAGTCAGCTCTGATATAGTACATTTTGTATTTATCTCTCTGGGTAAGTCTAAAAGAGATTTATTGTCTGATCTTATTAACTTGTAAAGTTAGAAATTTTATTCTGACACTGGGGACTAACTAGTATTAAATTCACTGGTGGGTGATGCTAGTGCGACTGTTGGCTGTCACTGCATAAAACGTGTAGATTGAAATATTTGGTGCTTTCACTAGGATAAAATTTACAATGGTGGTAGATTTCCTCCACCATTCTGGATTTTAAGAAAGGGTGAAGGTAAATGTCATGAGCACAAATAGTGTCAACCTAGATAAGCTAAGGAAATCAACAGTGATAAATGAACACTTGTTTTCTGGTACTCTTGGAGAACTACTTAAAACCACATTTTTGGTAGCTCACCTCTAAAATTTGACACAGCTGAAAAATTGTGAGGACACTTATCACTAAGGTTCCCTTTTCCTCCCTCTGTGTAGAATCAGTTGATCAGAGAAGATCATTTGATCTCCGTTAATTTCATTAGATGCCCTAACCTGGAGAGCACTTCTCTGGAGCATATTCTGCTTTGCCCTGCAGGTGCCAGTTATGCACACATTTGCTGCCTGGTTAAGGCTTCTCTAAGGTGGTGGAATAGAGCAAAGAGTGCTTTGTGGTATCAGGAGTATGCATAGCAAACCTGCTCTGGTTAAGCACTCTCGGAGGAAGAGCGATTGGGCGTATGACTGCACATATGGGGTGGAAAACTTTCTGTGATTTAGGATGATACTCATATAAAAGTCCAGAGTTGTTCATTCACACCATATTACTTGTGCCTAGCCAGATTGGCAGGAAAGTGGCTTTTTTAGACCAGATACCAATTATGCTACATGGATTAGGCAAAACGCTTCTCTGCATTATTACAGTCTCTACAATGTCCTATTCAGAGCAAAATAACTGACCATTAATTACAGTCTTACTGATATAAAATATGCATGCCCACCTGTCATGATGTCATAAAACATTATAGTTACATCATACTACTTTCACATGCTACTTCACAGTGCAAACATCACAACTGTGTGTAGTTCATGATAGGTTGAGAAATTACTCTATTAACATTTGGAGTGATTTCACTAGTTAGGCTTTTGTAGCTTATCACTGAGGTAGCAATAGTGAATTTACTTAGACTTCACTGATGTTGCGTTGCTGTTTTCTTCAGGTACACATTGGACATGACAAATACTAATACTGCCTACAATCACTTACATATATGTTGTTCCTCTGTAGATGTGTGCTTCTGTACACTGGGTCTGCACCTGCTTAAATGGTTATAGAGAAAGTATTAATCCTTAAGCAAAGCAAATGTTTTTATAATTATTTGTATTACAGTAGTTAGAGACCCTAATGGAGATCAGTACCCTATTGTGCTACACACTGTACGGGCACATGGTATGATTGTTGTAAAGGACTTACTGTGCGAATAGATGAGAGAGACAGAGGGTGGGAGGGAAAACAGAGGCACAGCGAGGTGAAGTGACCTTACAGAGGGTCACACAGCAGGTTAGTGGCAGAGCCACGATGAAAATCCAGGTGTCTGAGCTCAGTCTATTGCCCTAAGCACTAGACCACACGGCCTGTCCAAATGTTGCATTTGCTCAGCTGCTTAAAACATTAAGAGGGAGACTGTTTTATATACAGCATGCTTAGAACATATGCTTTATACTTCTCCTCAGACCTGTCTTGTAATGAGTCAGATAATAAATAGCAACCGTATTCTGTTGGCATCAACATTAAGGAAGGCAGTGTTGATTCTGCTATCCTGAAATAGGAATAGAATTATTTGATCTCAAATTGTGATTGGTTAATGTTACTAGAAGCTCAAATTGCTGATGGTACAGTGCTAATACTAAATACGCACCTGGATTTATAAGCAGAACCACACAGGTTGTGCTGAAGATTGTGTGGTGAAATCCTCCCCTAGTGTGTGAAGTGCATCTGTCCTCATTCTCTGCCTTCTGTAGAATAAACAAATACAATAATAACTTGAAACACATTTTTGTTTAAACCCCATAAGTTATCAACACTTTTATAGAAACGTTGTTGCTTATGGGAGTTTACTCTTTTTAAATGACAATTATTGTAGTTGATGCTTGCATAGGAATTCCAAAACCGACAGAAAATGAAGTCCACCAATGTGGAAATGGCTCACTTTTTAAAAGAGCAGCCAACAATTGTTTTTTCTTTTACAGATTCTAGTACAGTTAGAGGCAACAAACACTTCAGAAAACCACAAAGATCTAATCACAAAGATGACATTGCATCAGGAAGAACTTAAGTCTGAATTAGCCTGTGTGAAAAAGGAATTAGAATTAAGAGAAGAACAGACTGGGAAAATACTGAAGGACATAAAGGTATGTTGGAATAGTAATGGGGTGAAACGGACTGAGAGCTAATTTGGCACATTTTTCATCATTGCCAATTTTCTCCGATTGTTAATATTAAAGTGGTTTCAAAGAGAATCTTTGAGTCCTGGTTATTAAAGCAAAGGCTTCAGATAGAAATAAGATCCAAATGTCAGTGTTGGAAGTGAGATCTGTAGAATCTCAGATCATAAAGGCTGAAGTACTGTTCATATGTCCACAAGTTGTCTGTATTCTTCATGTTAACGCTTTTTGTATATTATTTTATATATCCTTTAGTACTTTATTCATAATTGTAGTATTTTTAAAAGCTACTATTATAAATATAGAAGGCTAGAAAGATGATGGGTCAGATTCAGTATGACACTAGAAGATTCAGTGCTACTGGCTCAGGAAGCTGTTGAGAAATCATCCAGTAGGTTACTAGCCAGAATACTTAACTTCCTTGCCATTGACGTACATGTACTGTGTGTTCATGTGGTTGGTAAGAGGTGTGTAAGGGTCTGGGGATGGCTGACGTTATACGCTGCTATGCATGTGTTCTCTGTGGGCTACTGCAGAACTAAAATTTGGGGGCAAGGTTGGTGGGTCCACCAATATGTGGATTCACCAGTTTCTGCCACAATGTGGATGGAAGTGTCATAGACACTACTGTAGCCAAGAGGCTAGATTGGCAGTTACAGAGCAGCCTGTGGGGTAGCATTGCTTCCAAACCTCAGAGGAACTCCACTGTGCACAGACTGGCTGTGCACTTGGGTGAGGATTTGAGCCTCAGGGCAGTTTCATGATAGGAGCATCGAATCATAAAAACTAGGACTAGAAGGGTCATCAAGAAGTCATCAAGTGCAGCCTGCTGTGCTGGGGCAGGACCAAGTACACTTAGACCATCCCTGTTAGGTTTTTGTCCAACCTGTTCTTAAAACCCTCCAATGTTGGCGCTTCCAAAACCTCCCTTGGAAGTCTGTTGCAGAATTTAATTACTCTTATAGTTAAAAAGTTTTTCCTAATATTTAACCTAAATCTCCCTTGCTGCAGATTAAGCTGATTACTTCTTGTCCTACCTTCAGTGGACATGAACAATTAATCACCGTCCAAATGTCATGTAGGATTGTGTCAAAAGCCTTACTAAAATCAAGATCTATCATGTTTACTGCTTCTTCCCATCCACTAGGCCAGGAACCATGTCAAAGAAGGAAATTAAGTTGATTTGGCATGATTTGTTCTTGACAGATCCATGCCGGCTATTTCTTATGACCCTGTTACCCTCTAGCGGCTTACAAATTGATTGTTTTATAATTTGTTCCAGTATCTTTCCAGGTATCAAAGTTAGGTTGACAGGTCTGTAATTCCCCGAGTCCTCTTTGTTTCCCTTTTTAAAGATAGGTACGAAGTTTGCCCTTGTCCAGTCCTCTGGGATCTCATCTGTCCTTCATGAATTTTCCAAGATAATTCTAATGGTGCCAAGAGTGCTTCAGCTAGCTCCTTAAGTACCCTAGGATGAATTGCATGAGGCTCTGTCAGCTTGAATACAACTTCATGTATTTAAATATTCCTTAACCTGTTCCTGCCGTATTTTGGCTGGTCATCCTTCTGCCTTGTTGTTAATATTAATTGGGTTGAGTATCTGATCACCATTAATCTTTTTATTGAAGGCTGAAGCAAAATAGTAATTAAACACCTCAGCTTTGATGTCATCAGTTATTAGCTCTCCTTCCCCGCTAAGTGGAGGACCTTCACTTTCCTTTGTCACTCTCTTGCTTGTAATGTATTTAAAGACCCTCTTCATACTGCCTTTTATGTCCCTTGCTAGGTGTAACTTATTTTGTGCCTTACCTTTTCTGGTTTTGTCCCTATATGCTTGTTCTGTTCTTTCGTAAACCTTTTTAGCAATTTGTGCTTAGAAGAGCAGCCGTGTTAGTCTCTATCCGCAAAAAGAACAGGAGTACTTGTTAGTCTCTAAGGTGCCACAAGTACTCCTGTTCTTTTTGTGTTTAGAAAGAGAACCCTGCATTTGTTAACTTTCCTAATGTCAAATAAATGTAATCTTCACAACTACAAGGGATCAATTTTTTTTTTTTAATGAATAGTTCAGTTCTGTAGAAGTGAATGGGAAACTCACTTCTCTCCAGCAAAAGCCCTGCTTCAGTGGAGATGTCACATATATCAGTGGTAATGTGTTTTGATGTCTCTGTTTAAAAATAAAACAATAAAAAAACAAAAAACAACTTGGCCAGCTACTCTTCACTATACCAGTGAAACCCAAAAGGGAAGTAATTTAAAAAATTTACATCAACAGTTTCCTTTACACATTGCTGTTGTGTAGTGTACTAATATAATCTATATTAAATGTTTTTGTTTTACTACAGTAACTATTCTGAAGAGTTAGATGCATTAATTTATCTTGGCTTGAAGGTAAAAGAAAGGCCAAACTGGCATGAGAAAGTATGTTGAATTATTTCTGAGTTCTTGAAATCATAGCTAGGATTAATAACAAATTTGATATTTCATTTTAAAAGAATCTTCTCAGAAGCTGAATATTTTTTGCACTTTTGGGAACTTTTATTTGAATTCAGGAAACAGAAAATTGATGGGTATGTGTGTTGTTTCACTCTAGGAGAAAGATGCAGCTCTAGCTGACTTGAAGACTCACAGCAGAAATCTAAAAACTCAGATTAAGCAACTACAAGAGACACTCCTGACTCAGGAAGCAGAGATGACAGACAAGGCCAGAGAGCTGCAAGATCTGAAAAAACACTGTCAGCAAATCTTGGAATTTCATCAAACTCCAGACTCTGTGAAATGCAAGTTGAACAACCTTTCACAAAACACAGAGCATGATAAAGAGACACCCAAGGACTTTAAATGTTTAGTCATGCATATGACTTCATGGGACTCACCTGAGATTGTGAGAAAGCAGGAGACAAGCATAGAACTTCAACCAAGTCTTCACTTAACACCCTTCTCAGAAGTTGATAGTGTACACAGCACAGACTTTGAAATGAAGGACAACAAATCATCTGTCATACAAGGAGACACCCCTGGACTGTTGGGATATCAAAGTCTGTATGCTAATACCAATGAGGAAGCAGTGGCCAGACTAGATTTAAAGTCTCCAGCTTTCTCTGAAAGTACCTACTCTATCGCTGAGTACCAAAATATGGAAAAAAGGATTCGGGTAATTATCAGGGTTTTTTAAAAATATTAAATGTAAGATCCTTCCTTCCCCTCCCTCTACCAATAAGTTTTTATTGCTGGGTCATGTGCTCTGTGTGTTACCATGGAAACTAATGTTGGTAAATATACATCAAGAAGCATAAATACTGTGTCATAGCAATCATCTTTTATTTGTTCATCTCCTGGTTGGAGACAGTGAAGCATACATTAGGCTGTATTGAAACATCATTTTATCACTGCTATCTCTCTGTAAGTGAAATTAGTTCTCTGAAAACTAAATTGAACTGTAAGCCCCTCAAGGTAGACTTTCTTTCGACTTGACTGTAGATTGGTGCTGTAATATAAATAATGGTAATAGTGTGTGGGTTTTATTTTGGAACTTCATAGTATCCTGGCAGCTTCAGAAAGTTCACAGAGATGGGATTTGGTGTGTTAGGCCTGGCAATTCAAAAGTGAAGGCCACAATAAAGAATGTGACTGTTGGGATGAAATTCTTCTTGTAATTAATGGCACTCAAAGAAGTGTTTACCTGTTGTCATGGGAGTCTTTAACTTACTGCAACAATTGTCTGCATGTGACTGGTTTTACTCAGTTTTTAAAAGATAGGTTTTGTTTGAGGAGTCTCTTCCCAAATTACCATGGTAATTGATTCTTTTAAAGACAGTATTATTTATATTATAGTGGTGCCAGCAGTGTTCTAGGCTCTGTGCAATTGCATTAAAAGACAAAGACTCTGCTCTAAATAGCTTATATATTACCTGCTATATGTATTCATGCTTTCTTCTTGGAGGAGAGGTTATAATTATGTATCTACTGAGTTGTAATGTACAGAGTCTATTGGAAACTGTAGTGTGATATTGATAAACGTATACTTCCCTCCCACCACTCGGTGCAGTGAAATCTCATCATAGACCCAGCCCTCAATATGAGACAACCTATCACAGCCTCAGCTGCGAGTACTGCAGGAAGTTGCCTTTGGTAGAGTTTATAATTCATTATTGATAATATTACAGTAATGCCTAAAGGCTCCAACATAGATTATGGTAGGCATGCTGTACATGCACTGTCCTGAAGTGCTTATAATCTAAATAGACAAGGCAGGTCAGGCAAAGGGTGGCAGAAAAGAAATATTATTCCCATTTTGCAGATGGGGAGCTGAAATACAGAAAGCCTGATCCAATGTCTATTCAAATGAGTTTTTAATAAAGATTTAGTACTTAACTAAATGTATAGTAATTGAATGGTAATTACACAGCAGAACATACCTTTTTGCCAGCAGAAAAGTAACAGTTTTTCTTTAAATGAAAGTTTAAAATTTGGTGAATCCTGCAACAGTTCCAAAGACTTTAAATGTGAAATTTCAGTTAAACATTTTACAATTTCACTCATGAGATTGTCTTAGGAGTAGAGTAGCCCTGCCATTATCTGGCCCCTGGCAGAAAGATTGTAGAACTTGCCTTGCTCTAATTGTGTTCACATAGTGAGCAGGATTTCACTAGGGACTGATCACATCTCAGCTAATGCCCCTACTGAGTGTCATCAGAGATGATTTTTTTCAGTCACTTATAATTTCTATCATATCCTCTCTGTCTCACAAAAAGAAAGCATTTTGTTCAACATTTTGTGTAACAGGAGAGTAAAAATATCTTTTTAATATTATAGTTTCCCCAATTCTCCCATAACTGAAAGGTAGTTGAAGGGTTTCCCCCCAAATCCCCCAAAAATTCACATGTTGGCTGTGACCAAGCATAGAAAACTTCAGCCTAAAGGGAAATTTTTACGATCATTAGAAATAAGTGAAAATGGGCGGGAGAAGCTTCCAAAGGAACTCTGTACGTAGCCTTAACTATGGCATTTACCACCATGAATGCAATAACTAATTTGACGTTTTGTAATAACTTAATCATTTAGTGGTGGTTTTAAATAGTAAGGAGGGTGCAACTGGATCCATTAGGGCCAGAAATGATTCCTGATTCATGTTGTGTATATACATTTTTAACAGGTGAGAGATGTTGACGACTTCACTTTAACGCCATCTGATTCACAAGATGACCTACGATCAACAATGTCTGGTCTAGAGGGGGCAAGTGATGGATATGTCAGCAGTGAGTCTTAATTTCTATTAGTTAATACGCAACTCATTTTGCTTGTATGATAACTTCAGTAAGTGAGACCCAAAATCTTTGAGGTGAAGAAAATAACCTACTTCAGATATTGTCACTCTGTTTAGAAAAGGAGTTGAATACTGAATTAATGAACAATGTCTTGGTATCTTCCCATGTCTTCTTACCTTGTCTATGCTAGAAAGAGGTCAGGGTGTTTTAGCTAGTCAGAATCTAATCATGACCTTTTTCCCTAGCATAGATGCAAGTTAACACTTTTCACTTTGATTCAGTTGGTTGAGACATATCCCGGGTTGATCTCAACTAGCTAAATTGAGGAAGAGGATGTGAAATTGCATTTATGGTAGGGAAAAGGTCATGATTAGGTTGGAGCTGGCTAATACACCCTGACCCAATCTTCAAACTCTCTTCTAATCTAGAAACACCCTGAATGAAGCTTACATTTGATAGTTGGTTCTCCCAGACTGAAATATTTAAAATCATTTGTAGTAGTTTTGGGTTCTCAATGACTTACTTATACCAGTAAAGCAGGGGTTCCCAAACTTGGTTCGCTCAATCACAGCCACTGAGAGCTGCAAGTGGCCATGCCTGTGGACGCTCAGGTAAACAAGCGTCTCGTGGCCCACCAGGGGCTTACACTGAACAAGCTGCGAAACAAGTTTGGGAACCCCTGCAGTAAAGCTTAGGGGCTTACCTATGTAAGTGTGAAAGGGGATACATTTTTATGAATTTGCCAGGGTGACAGTTACATTTTAAAGCCGAAACCTAACAACTTAGGTTTGCCAGTTGGATAAGTGTTAATAGAATAACCCCTTTTTATTGAATCCAGGGAGTGTTAGCATACTAGTTTTACTGGTGGGTTCTTTTCAGATCAGCTTTTAACTTGCACAGTATTTTTTCCAATCAAGACACTAGCTTATTCTTAACAAAACACCAATTTATGAATTCACTCAAAACCACATTAGTATACAATCAACAGTTCACCACTGAAGTGCAGACAACAAGCAGTGTTCTAGCTGTGTATGACAACCACAATAATTTTGCAAGCCGTTATCACAGTTGAGTCTCAGAAGTTGTTAAATCAAGGAATGATGCAAATTACCAAGATTTCTTATTACATTTACTTATGATCATCAATTCGCCCTTCCTAACACATGTATCGCACTTCTGAGGAAGCCCGTGTCTTTTTAGGTGCTTTTAGCGGGAGGTGATCACTCTGACTGGATTGGTCCAAAAGGGACAAGTTTAGAATATTAGAAGCAATTGCTCAAAGGTATTGTTTTCAAAGGAGTTAAAATCTAAACTATGGGTACCGGAGGTCTCATTAGCGTGTCGGTGCTCAGAAAGATAACCTTTGGTTCT